CAATTGATTGGTGATAACGTGAACATGTATTGGGGTTGACATCCATACTAGCATTATACTCAGACTTTTACCTCAACATAGTGTCAAATACACATAAACAACATCCTAAACGTAGGCTAATTTTGCCGAGGGACAATGAGGTGATTTGGGATCGTTCCCCCATGCATTCCCATTGTTTTGGTCGAGTTCCATTGACCTCTTTACCAGATATATCATTTGAATGAACATTCTACATTACCATGGCAATCCAGCATCAGTTAATAGAACATTACAAAGCACCATGGAAATGATTGCAGGGTTAGGAGCTTCCAAGCCCGTTCTATTCATTCTATTTTTATGGGTGAGAGCCTAAAAATTAAATGTTCGTCATTATAATAATCTATACATTTATAATGTGTACCCAGGTATGTTAACAATACAACTCACCCCATAGGTACATTGGCTAGCACACATCTGTACAATGTAACAAAAACACCGCCATTCTTCTTGTGAACAACTAAATTAACGAACTTGTTCATTCCCAAACTACAATTAAATTCCCTTAAAACAACCACAAACATGGGTGCTTATAAGACACCTCAAGGAGTCAAATTAACATGATGTGAGTCAGAAAAGCTGATTCAGCAGATTCTGCTCAACATTGACAATAGGGTAGAATAGTAAAATATTGCACAAAATAAACTATTATTAGATAGCTCTACTGCTAGAAGTACCAATAGACCCAAGGTAGTGTGTGAAACGATCCTGAGATAGAGGTAGGAGTAAAATGTTAAACAGTATAACCAGGACGGGTAGACTATAGGCTCATGTGTTAAATAGAAACGAACACTAACCATATTAAAATGAACATCAGTTTCCCTTTTGACCTAAACCATTTGTTGTTAAGAAACTTCCATCTACTCTCTTTAGAATGTAAAAATACTTTGTAACATAAAAGTAATTTCCTTAATAGCAAACCTCCTAATGCACTCATGTTCTCCATTTTACTCCTAATATGACGTGAAACCAGAATTTGATTTGGGGCAGTAGTACCCATTCACAACATAACTTTGGAAGAAGAGCTCTATATGAATGTTCTCCTTTCTCCATTAGTGTTACTGGGTCATTCCACCTAATTCAGTGCCTTTTGAGAAGTGTAACTTGGTCAAAAATTACTTTGGATTTTAATTTTTTTTAACATTCTGTCATAAAGAGCACATGCTCATAAAAAATAAAAATAAAAGTTTTCCAATCCCAAGACGTTAAATTAAAGTCTATAGCAAGTGCCTATTAAGTGCCAAATAAAGTAACAGGGTTGACCGTAACAGGGATGACCGTAACAGGGTTGACGTTTTCTTCTTAAAAATCAGCCATGAATCCCCTTGTGACAGGGGGAATGGAAGCTTGTTGTGAGCAACAGGGAGTGGCAACTGAATGAAAGCTTCAAAAAAAAAAAAAAAAGAGGAAATTGTTAAAACATGTTTAGCCTGTCCACATATGGGTAACATGATTGACGTATAATGCTCTACCCGCTCAGTTTTCCACCACAAAACAGCCAAAAACAGTAGAACCAGCTCACCTAATAAAGTGCTGCTCTACCTTCTTAACAGCACTATCAACAAGGTAGGTCCTCTACAGGCTCTAGTTTTATCGCACCTGGACTACTGTTCAGTCGTGTGGTCAGGTGCCACAAAGAGGGACTTAGGAAAATTGCAATTGGCTCAAAACAGGGCAACACGGCTAGCCCTTGGATGTACACAGAGAGCAAACATTAATGTCAATCTATCCTGGCTCAAAGTGGAGGAGAGATTGACTTCATCATTGCTTGTGTTTGTGAGAGGTGTTGACATGTTGAAAGCCCCGAGCTGTCTGTTTGAACGACTGGCACACAGCTCAGACACCCATGCATACCCCACAAGACATGCCACCAGAGGTCTCTTCACAGTCCCCAAGTCCAGAACAGACTATGGGAGGTGCACAGTACAACATAGAGCCATTACTACATGGAACTCTATTCCACATCAGGTAAGTGATGCAAGCAGTAGAATCAGATTTAAAAAACAGATAAAAATACACCTTATGGAACAGCGGGGACTGTGAAGCAACACAAACATAGGCACAGACACATGCATACACACGATAACATACGCTCTATACACACACACGTACACATGGATTTTGTGTTGTAGATATGTGGTAGTGGAGTAGGGGCCTGAGGGCACACAATGTGCTGTGAAATCTGTTATTAATGTATTGTAATGTTTTTTAAATGTATAACTGCCTTACTTTTGCTGGACCCCAGGAAGAGTCGCTGCTGCCTTGGCAGGAACTAATGTGGATCCATAATAAATACAAATAATTGACGGAACTATGATTTGACTATTTGATGTTCAATGGTTCTTTCGGAAAACATTTAAAAAGGAATAGTTTCACCATATTAAAATGAGAGTTCAGTTCACGTAACAGGGTTGAACTTAAAATGGACGGACAGATGTAAACGAATCACATGAAATAAATAATCTTCAGAAATTACTGTCAAAGCAACAATATAATGATGGTGAAACTTGGGAGAAATGTTGGAATTAAGTTGGTTAAAATCTTCCTAGAAGTGACACAGGGTTGACGGAGGGACATGTCAAAATGCAGAATATTGGCACAATGGCAACCCTTTATTCATATAAAAATAAAAATAAATCAGATGGTCTATATTAAAAAGGGCACTTCATATAACAGGCTTTTAAAATTAAATATTGGAGCACAATTTCTACTGAAAATATCAAAAGGGTACTCAATCTGTGGAACGACCCTACTGCTGAAGTGCCATTTAGCTTTTAATATAGGCCTAACCCCAGATAGTGTAAGGTTAAGTACCATACCTAACTATCTAGCTAGCCGTTAACCACGTCTATCCATCTAGCTAGCCGTTAACCACGTCTATCCATCTAGCTAGCAGTTAACCACGTCTATCCATCTAGCTAGCCGTTAACCACGTCTATCCATATAGCTAGCCGTTAACCACGTCTATCCATCTAGCTAGCCGTTAACCACGTCTATCCATCTAGCTAGCCGTTAACCACGTCTATCCATCTAGCTAGCCATTAACCACGTCTATCCATCTAGCTAGCCGTTAACCACGTCTATCCATCTAGCTAACTATTAACCATGTATATCTATCCATCTAGCTATTAACCACGTCCATCTATCTACAGTGCATTCGGAAAGTATTCAGACCCCTTGACTTTATCCACATTTTGATAAGTTACAGCCTTATTCTAAAATTGATTACATTTGTTTTACTCAATCTACACACAATTCCCCATAATGACAAATCAAAAAACAGGTTTTTATAAATATCACATTTACATAAGTATTCAGACCCTTTACTCAGTACTTTGTTGAAGCACCTTTGGCAGCGATTACAGCCTCGAGTCTTCTTAGGTATGACGCTACAAGCTTGGCACACCTGTATTTGGGGAGTTTCTCCCATTCTTCTCTGCAGATCCTCTGAAGCTCTGTCAGGTTGGATTGGGAGCGTCGCTGCACAACTATTCTCCAGAGACGTTAGATCAGGTTCAAATCCGGACTCTGGCTGGGCCACTCAAAGACATTGAGACTTGTCCCGAAGCCACTCCTGCGTTGTCTTGGCTGTGTGCTTAGGGTCGTTGTCCTGTTGAAGGTGAATCTTCGCTCCAGACTGAGGTCCTGAGCAGATTTCCACCAAAGAACTCCGTACTTTGTGCCGTTCATCTTTCCCTCGATCCTGACTAGTCTCCCTGCCCTCTGAAAAACATCCCCACAGCATGATGCTGCCACCACCATGCTTCACTGTAGGGATGGTGCCAGGTTTCCTCCAGACGTGACGCTTGGCATTCAGGTCAAAGAGTTCAATCTTGGTTTCATCAGACAAGAGAATCTTGTTTCTCATGGTCTGAGAGTCCTTTAGGTGCCTTTTGGCAAACTCCAAGCGGGCTGTCATGTGGCTTTTACTGAGGAGTAGCACCTCCCTGACCAAGGCCCTTCAATCCCGATTGCTCAGTTTGGCCAGGCGGCTAGCTCTAGGGTCTTGGTGGTTCTAAACTTCTTCCAGTTAAGAATGATGGAGGCCACTGTGTTCTTGGGAACCTTCAATGCTGCAGAATGTTTTTGGTACCCTTCCCCAGATCTGTGCCTCAACAAAATATTTTCTGAGGTCTACGGACAATTCCGTCAACCTCATGGCTTGTTTTTTGCGCTGACATGCACTGTCAACTGTGTGACCTTATATAGACAGGTGTGTGCCTTTCCAAATAATGTCCAATCAATTGAAATTTACCACAGGTGGACTCCAATCAAGTTGTAAAAACGTCAAGGATGATCAATGGAAACAGGATGCACCGGAGCTCAATTTCGAGTCCCATAGCAAAGGGTCTGAATACTTATGTAAATAAAAGGTATTCGTTAATAAAGGTAATACATTAGCAAAAATGTCAAAAAACCTGTTTTCACTGTCATTATGGGGTATTGTGTGTACTTTAATCAATTTTAGAATAAGGCTTTAACGTAATAAAATATGGAAAAAGGAAATGTGAAATGTACATTAATATATACACATCATCATAATGTCATGTATTGCTATGAACCACAGTCAGTATTTGCCCTAAGGGGACAATAAAGTTGTATTAAATTGAACAGTCCGTAGTTGTGCTTATGAAGAAGTAGTACTGGGGGCAGCGAGATCCGGTCTGGTCCAGTTTAATCCGGTTTAGTCCAGTTCCTATCTAATCCAGTCAGTTCATATATTTATAGATCTGCTGTAGTAGCAGGTACAGCGAGGGCTCAGACTCAGGGTGCGTCCCAAATGGCCCCCTATTCCCTATATAGTGCACTTCTTTTGAGGTGACCAGTACATGTCCTTGTAGTTCTGCTGCAGTAGTAGGTGCAGCAAGTTCTAGTCCAGTTTATTCCGGTCAGTACAGGTCTGATCTGTTTCAGTCCAGTCCAATCCGTTTTAGTCCAGTCCGTACAGGTTCAGTCTGGTCCAGTCAGTACATGTCCTTATAGATCTCCTGTAGTAGTGGGTGCAGAGAGGTCTCAGACTCGGTCTTCTTGATCTTCTGCACCAGCAGGGTGTTCTCTGTGACCAGCTGTCTGAGGTCGGCCATCTTGTTCAGCAGCTTGGGGAAGAGGTAGAGGGAGTCCTGGTGGTTTGCCTGTAGGTGCTGGTCCAAAGCCTGGAGAATACCATCCTGACTCTGTTCTACCTGCTTCACGTTCATCAGCCCTGGACGGTCTGCAGATAGATCGAGAATAGTTAGATCACAGACGTGAAAGTTACCAACTAATAGCACAACCTTTCCGCTATTCCTCGCATCATATCTTCACCTCCTCCTCAACCATATTGGAAGAAAAAAAAGGTAATGTTCCCTCCCCTCGGACCTTCCTCTCCAATGTGTTTTGAGGAGGCGAGAGGATACCAGGAATCTAGGGAAAGATTAATTGAGAAAGAGCTCCCCTCAACTCCACACAGGATGATAGCAGCTACGAACAACGTTAAGGTCAGGGTTATCAGGGCAGAACAGTACTAGTGTCAGAGTTACTACTAGTACAGAAGTACACCATACCTCCACACAGGATGATAGCGGCCACGAACAGAGCCAGGTCACTGTCATCCAGCTCCAGAGCATTGAACTTCACAGCAAACTCAAACTTGGGCTCCATGATCTCACTGAAGGGTTTACGGAGGCTCCTCAGGAACTCCCGGGTCACAAAGCCCTTCCCGTTGGCCACCAGGAGGCCATCTTTGTTCATGAGGGAGGGCAGCATGGCGAAGATGGCCTCGTGGACGCCATACTTCAGTAGTGTTACCTGAGGCAGATAAGCAGAAGAAAATAATAAGAGCATTCTCTCCCTTCATCTGAGGAAGACGGGCAAACACGTAAGCAAACTGTCAATCCATATCAGGGTTTTTCAAATTATACAGTACGTGCCCAAAAGCAATTGTGTGCTCTTTTAGTTGTAGCTAATGTAGTATATTAAAATTATGTCTTTGTTAAAGGTTTTTCATGAAGAAATGGAAGGTTGATTATTGTTATCCAGAGGGAAGGTTTTAGCGTGACGTCACATATGACAAACAGGAAGTGGGTGGTAAGATACGGGGATTGAACAGTAGAGGGAGCTATTCAACTCTTGGAAGGCTATATAAAGGGGGGAGCGGTGACGAAGAGTTAGAATGCAGCAAGATTTATTTGGGGTCTGATTCTCCGGATATTGTGTCCGTACTTACGCTGGAACCTCGTGGTTTGAATAAAGGCCTTTGAACACGATCCAACCTAAGCAGACTTCTTGATTGACGACAACACCTTCCAATAACCATACACTACATTTTGGAGGCTCCGCTGAGATATTGATTGCATCGTTATTGGTCCCTTTCCTGGATTCGCGAGTTGACTACGGTTCAAGCCGGCTAAAGGTGAGATTATTCACAAACTTTGGACACTAGTCATTTCGTTGATGGGGGAGAGGGCTTTGACGGTGTACGGTTAAAAGGACTTGGGTCGTTATTGAGGTATGGTGTTGTTGTTGATTCGGAGTCTGATAACAAATATTCTAAATTGGGTTGATGGGTAAATGGGGAATAATAGCATGTTTAGGACAATGGATTGGTAGAGAATAAAGGTTGGAAGACGTCTGCATAATTAGGGCACCGGGAATCTGGAAAAGCCCTCGAATCGAGGCGATTCATAGGAATGGGCCATAAAATCCTTGCAACGCGTTATGTGGTGTATGGTTAATTCAGGGAATTATTAAGCTGGATGGATTATATGTATGTTATATACTCATCGTATGGTTGACGAACTATAATGCTTGGGGTAACCTCTCTATGATTATCCAGAACTTACGGCAACACAAAGTTAGAAGGAGATATTATTGATAATCATGGAAAATGATTGGGCCACGGTGCGGGGTGTTCATTTGTATAGCTAGTAGGCTACACTTAGCTGGAGGTTGGTGTTAAGGCTGGATTGTTTCAGGCCACGTGGTGCCTCGTTGCTAAGGCTTGATTGTATGGTTCGGGTCACGTGGTACATCGTGGTGAAATGCTAAATGCTAAGGCTTGAGGCTAAAGGCTAATTTTTTGTAAGGCTGTGAATCATGCTACATCATGGTGGCTGAGGTGGAGGCTAGTGTTAATTGTGTTTTGTGTCACGATGTACCGTAGGCTAAGCTAGCTGCTAAGGTTGAATGCTAATTGTGTTGCGTGCTACATGCTAATGGATATCCTTAGAGATTCCATTGCGATGGATTAAAGTCTCTTAAATTTGTCACTGTCTGTAAGTCAGGTTGTATGTTTTGTGAGCGCTGTTAAATGTTGTTTGACTATAAGGGGGAAATGGGAAGTTACAGCTGGCTGTTATTCTTTCTGTTTGGGGAGAGAGAAGAGAGAATCTTTCTTCCACGGTGAAAAGTATTTTTGAATGGTTGTGCGCATGCGTTTAATTTTGCGACACTACACTACAGAAAGGGGGAGTTTATGACACGAGATTAGGACACGTTTTGGTTTACGGCACTGAATCTTCGACATGCGGTCGTGCTGAGGCGACGGAACAAAATGGTGGCCAGTACGGTCATATGATTGTTTCAGGGTTCTTTTCAGGGGTAATGGCTACCGGAAAAGGTGAACATGACTCTTTTAAAATTATTAAAGTAACTGTTATGTGAACGTTAAACTATTTGTTGAGATGTAGTACATTTATAAATTAAATATATGGTGACGAAGTATAATGCATTGATTTGAATGACGGGTTAAAATAAAATTAAAATGTTTTGAGCGATTTATTTATTCTTGGGGTCCGGTTTAAAATGTGTTGATTTATTTCTTTCTAGGTTCCGTTTGGTAGCAAATATGAGTGGGGAATACCTTGGTTAAGTGTAAACTTTAAATGCTTGGCTGTATCGTTTTCTTCCCTTGTTATATGAGGCTGTAGAACGGAGCGAAGGAGAGAGAGGGGGGCTAACGTGCGCGGCGTTGCGTGGCGTGACGTGACAAGGTGTGACGCAAACAGAGGATCATCCAAAATCAGGCTAGTACTTTTTTGTCTACAAAATCTCTCAACAGGATGTTGGATGCAATGATACTCTCTTACACGCTTGGCAACAGACTGATCAGGGAATAAAAGTTGCAGTTTTGGGTCTCGGTGCATTACTGGGCCTGACTGGGGGATTCGGTTGGAAAGCAGGTACTGACATTATTCTGTGATATTGCAATATTTGGCTTCATATTAAACAATGGTTTATATTGGTGTGGTATTGTTGTAGATTGGAAGTCTTTTTATTCTGTGATATTAAAATACTTGGGTGCATGTTGTTTTATTCGGTGATAGTAAAATACTTCTGGGTGCATATTAAACAATGGGATTTATTGGGGTGATGGTGTTGTAGATTAGAATTCCATGTTTGGATTGCTGTGGACGTTGACTACTGGTATTCACTTTCCGGAGGGGTTAAGGTAAGTGGGTCCTAAATTGGTAAAATAGGTGTAGAAATAAATATTGGTCTTAATTATTTATAATTATTCATAGTTGTTAATTAAAATTTTAATTGAATAATTTAATGGATTTTTTGGGGGGGGTTATTTTTAATTAAAATTTTAATATTCATATTTAAATTTTTAATTATTCATATTTTATTCATATTTTAAATTTTTCATAAATTATTCATATTTTATTCATATTTTAAATTTTTTTAATTATTCATATTTTTCAAAAAAAATTTGATATTCAGATTTAAAAAAAAAAAAAAAAAAATTAATAGTCATTTTTTTTTAATTTTTCGTTTTAGTTGGTGATTTAAAAAAAAAAAAAAAAATTTCTCTCTGGTTGTTTAGGTTATATTAATAATTAAAGGGGGGGAAGCCATAGGCTAAAATAAATAGTTCACAATAAAGGAAGATAAGAGAGGACTTACAATGGGGAGAAAGGATAGCAAGGCTATGAAAGTTATTACACCAGTTAATATAGTCGAACATAGTAATCCTTTAGTTAAGGGTATTGCGAGATTATCCGGCAAATGGAACAAACGTTGGCCTGACATTGAACAACCCTGGCCAGAGGAAGGGACTCTTAATCCGGATGTTATCAACATCATGAAAGTACTTCTGTCAATTTACAAGGCAGATCAGAAGAAGGGAAAACAAAAGGAACGACGTAAAGAGAAGAGACAAAGGGAGCTGGGTGTTCTTAAATTGTTTGAAGACGAAGGACAAAAAACTGATGAAAGATACCAAAGACAAGGGAAGCAAAGGTATGGAGAAGAAGCTAAAGGAAGAGACGTCGACAGAGAAACTGAGGGTAGAGGTCGGTATACCTTTCTCACATACGGATTCGGCGAGAAGACCCCCACCGTATGAGAAGGAAGTTGAGCTTAGGGATGCTTATCCTCAGCTTCCAGTAATCCTCCAACAGGGGGATTATTACATCAGAGATGAGGATGAACAAATTATAGAGAGAGGACAAGCAGAAACGACCGTAAAAATGCATCCAAGCGCCAAAGGTGGAAAGAAAACGAGAGGTCTGAAAACTAAGGGTGGTATGAGGTTAAGTAGGATGGAATTGGAGGAGGACGATGATGATCAGAGTGATTTAGAGGGGATCATGGGTGGATATGATCCGGTCATCAAACGGAGGTTGGCCAGAACGGAAAGAAGGGGTAAGGAAGGTTTGAAGAAGAAGGATACAAGGTATTCTGAGGAAGGTTTGAAGAAGAAGGATACAAGATATTCTGAGGAAGGTTTGAAGAAGGATCTAAGATATTACAGTGCTGAGGAAGATTCGAAGAAGAAGGATACAATATCTTCGAGTGCTGAGGGAAGCAAAGATGAAGACAGCGATAAAGAGGAGGCTGACGGTGCTGCGTATTCGAAAGGAGGTTGTCCTGCAAAGACTGTTGCAGAAGAAATAGACGGAGAAATAGACCAATGCTTATCAGAACTGAAGAGTGCAAGGACTGCATGAGAAGTAAGAGAGGTACAGGAACAACTTCAGTCGCTGACCATACGGAAGGAGAGACAGCTGAGAAGAGAATCTGAAAAAGATGAGACAAAATATGCATTGAGGTCAAGGAAAGATACCCCGAGCAAAATGGTACCAGTTATCATTCGAGGTCAAAACTTTGAATATAAGCCGTTGCAAAATACCGATATGTCAAACATACTTGAGAAGTTGCCTATTCTTCAGAATGGGGCCTATCCTTGGATTTCGAAATTGGAAGAAATTACGGTGGGAACACAGTCTGCCATAGGAGACGTTAAGAGACTGTTGGCTAATCTCATTGGGATTCCAGATATGGAAGAAGTCTTCCAGAGGGCTGGACTCATGAGATATGTTGGGACGGCGGTGAACGATCCTGAATTGTTGGCTGCAAGTAGGAATCGTCTGTGGAGAGCATTGAAAGATACATTTCCAACGAATGTGCATCCTGATAATATTCTGATTGATCCACTAGGACAACAAGAAAATCCGAGAGCTTATGTGTCAAGAGTTCATCAAGTGTGGAGAAATATTACTGGAAATGATCCAGATGTGAGTCAAATTGAGCAGTCAATTTTGAGAGCTAAACTGCAAATGGGACTGCCCTCCCCAGTAAGAAACAAACTGGCAGAAGTGGTTGGACTGGGAAGCATGACAAAAGGTGTCTATACAGATCACATAGCTCATCAAGTGGATCTGTACAGGAAGAAGGAACTCAATCAGAAAGAGCAGGACGAAGAAACTCTTCGGAAACTTAATCTGATACAACTGGGAGAGAATAAAAAGGATAAGAAACAAGCTTTGGTTATGCAGAGTCCGTGTGTACCGAACCAACAAGCA